AACAAGCAAGTATCATTTACAGAACCTAGTCCTTACCCTGTAGAAGCTTAGTTATAAACCTGGAAAGGTTTTTTAGTGACTTGTGTATTAATTAACGATAGGATTTTGCACAAAGTGGTAGGATTATTGATTGAAAAAGCCCAAGGAAAAGTCCAACAGCAAGTATTCTTACGAGGATAAAGTTCTTAAAGGAGTTTTTTTTTTGTGTGTGGAGAAAAAAGGCTGGAAATAGGTAAGTTTCAGCTGGATTACTGAGAATTTTATATACCTGCCATACTATGGCATTTGGTGTACAGGGAAAGAAAGTATCACCATTGGGATTAAGAAGGCAGAGCATAGATTCAATTTTATGAATGTGAGTCCAGCTCAGGTACTTACTAATTGTTGGGTACGATGTGTAATCACTCTATATCTTGAGTTCTCCAAATTCAAAATAAAATATATTGCATATTCCTGCACGGTGCACACAGCAATTTTGAATTGTCTAGATGATTAAATTAAATGTGCTAACACATGGAGAATGTATAGATTAATGCCAGAAATATACTAAGACTTTAACATTCTTGTTATTCTTTTTTTAAAGATTTTATTTATTTATTTTTAGAGAAGGGAATGGAGGGAGAAAGAGAGGGAGAGAAACACTATATCAATGTGTGGTTGCCTCTTGTGCGTCCCCCACTGGGAACCTGACCCACAACACATACCTATGCCCTGACTGGGAATCGAACCAGCGACCCTTTGGTTCGTGTCTGACACTCAATCCACTGAGCCACACTAGCCAGGGCACATTCTTTTTATTGTTATTAATGGTTCCCATTATCTGAGCTGAGTTTATTAAAGATAGATTAAAATGAAATGGGAGAGAATGGCAGCAGAAAGACAGATTAGAAGGCAAGTGCAAAAGAAGCAAGGTAAAAGGAAGAGGTGGTCTTTAGAGTAAGGCAGAGAGTTTTAAGTTCTAATATCAGTGTTATCTGTAGACTTAGAATCTTGGGCCAATGACATAACATTTTGAATCAAATCCTATTTTTTGTTGACTATAAAGTTGGATAATAATGCTAGTGACTAAAGCAGTTACTGCTCAAGAAACCATAAATTATTTAAAATTCTATTATCATTGATGCTATAATTGTATCCAAGGATAAAAATGGTTTGACTATGAAAGTAGAGAAGAAATGGGTACATTTATGGAGGCAAAACTTTGATAAATGATGACATCTAGACTAGGGAGTGATGAATCTATAAAAATGAATTTTGAATATTTTAATAACACATTATACTAATTTTGTTATTTTTGCTACTGCCTTTATTTACAATGACTACTGTTTTGTTTTTGCCATTTATTTTCATTTTAAGAGAAATCTAGCAAGCCTATAGGCAGCTTGGCAGACAATTAAGTCCACATCTAGAATCTAGTGCATCTGAAGCAGAGTCTGCTTCTTGCCCCACCCACAAAGAAGTTCCTCTGTCTGAAGGAAGATTTGTTATATGGTTATCATTTCCTATATTAATCTCTCCCACATTTCATCAGTATCACTTGCATTTTATTATACATTATTTTTGTCATTTGTTTTGTCTTGTTTTCTCCTCATTAATGCTGTAGTAGATGTGAGATAATTTATATATTTTCATTTATTTATTTTTTGCTTTGCTTTGCTTTGCCATCACTTCCATACCTCCCAATTAACATGGAAACTTACTGATAGGGCTTAATCACAGAATGATGATTTCCAATTCAGTAGAACTGTGTGGATGAGTGTGGAGATAGCATGGTTGGTTCTGGGATATTGTTTCTCCATTGACAAAGCTCAGCTCCTCTGCTTTTGGGGGCTAGAAGGGTCTGGTAACCTTTTGGTAATGGAGGAAGCTTTATGGCATCACTTTGCATTAGTTTGGTTCTTACTACTGCTGGTAACCTTGGCTTATGTGATGACTTCCACTTAGATAGCATATATGTTTATCTTGATGTTTATAGTTTTTCCTTTTCACCTTGGCCTGTTCTAATCTTCAGAGAAGGGCTGCCATGTCAACAATTAACCTTACCTCTGTTCAGCTGATTCTTTTAGTTGTGCATAATTTCACTTGCCCTGGCAACCTTCCCTCCACTTCTCTAAATTTTCTGTGCTTATAGAATAGCTAATAGCTTTGTGTGATCTCCCATCATTTTATTTTGAGGCAGGCTATATAATAATCCTATGCTTCCCTGCTGTGAAGGGAAACTCCAGTAAACATTCAACTTGCAAGAAACTCCAAACAAATGCAGGCCTAGTCTTTGTATTCACTTTTGGTCCAATGTCAAGGGACATATGTCAAGCTCTCATACACACCATGTTCATCATGAAAATTCCACAGTCACACTAGCATTCACTGTGGGATCAGACTGATCGTTTTACTCTACTATTTCTGATTCTATTTTCTACAGACCTTTAGAGTGCTCCCCACAACTTGTCTTTAGGAGAAAGGGGAGTACCTACCTTTTTCCTTATAGGCAGAGCAAGGTTTTTCATGGAGGGTGCTGTACTCTCCCAAAGGCCAAGGACTCCTAACTCGAAGCCACTAGCCCCTAGGGCCTCCTTTCCGATTTTCTTACTGGGTAGGTGGTCCTACTGTCACTTTGTAAGACCCATGTGAAGTGTTAGGCCAAACCCGATGGTGGCTCTTTCTCAAATGTTTGGTACTCAACATTTCTTTAATTTAATTTCTGAACTAGATACTATTTTGGGACAATGAGAAAAAATTTCAACTAACTTTGTATTATAAAGCAGAATAATAGAAGTACTACTACTACTAATAATAATAATATGAAAAAGTAAAAGAAAAATGAGAATGAAAAGAAGCAAGCATTAGCACAGAAATTCAGAAATAACTACAGTAAATAAATTCACTTCAATTCAATAATTATATGAGAAATTTCTGCAGTTTTTAAAGACTAAAAATGCTGAACAATTTTAGAGTAAAACTGAGATGCCTCCTACATTTCTTAAGTAGCCTGACCTTATCTGGTTAAAAGGAATAATTATCACACTGAAACTGTATGAAAGATAAATTTGTTCAATTCCAGACTAGGACAGTGTGAAGTTGTTCATTTTGGCTTCTAAGGAAGTTTGTAAGACTCGTTTTTACATAAGCCCATCTAAAGCCTATGGACATTACTATATAACAACACAAAGTTATTTTTTCTCTACATAAGCAAAAGTTAAAAAAATTCAGGGAACACTTTCCCTTCTTTACATCACATAAATACACTCTTATTTTCCTTGTTTCCAGTATAATTTCTAGCTATCTACTTTTCATGTAAAGTATAAAAATCATCGATCCACACAACTTTCAGTTGTATGAAATGATATCAGCAACAGTCCAGTCTGTAGAAAGTCATCCAGTAAAATCAGAATATGTACAAAGTGTCTTCACACTAAATACTCATATCAGGGCAACATATGAAAATATGTGAATCGGACGCTATTCAGTCTATTCTCATGTAGGCTGAACATTTTGGAACTATATATAATAAACTAACTTTGACATAATTTCAGCTAAAAGCTAGTCAATGGTTTTCTTTTTTTTTTAAGATTTTATTTATTTATTTTTTAGAGAGGGAAGGGAAGGGAGGGAGAAAGAGAGAGAGAGAGAGAGACATCAATGTGTGGTTGCTGGGGGCCATGGCCTGCAACCCAGGCATGTGCCCTGACGGGGAATCAAACCTGTGACACTTTGGCTCACAGCCCGTGCTGAATCCACTGAGCTACGCCAGCCAGGGTAGTCAATGGTTTTCTTGTGTTACTGGATTTGTTGTGAAAATTATAAACAATTTTATGTGGCAATGAAATATATAGTCTTGAATGCAGTTTATTTCACCCACATCATTGAAAAGTAAATCTTGATGAAAATTCTCTGCTTTGTATTTCAGCTATTCCTCCATTAAGTAGCTTCCTCATAACCATAAAAAAATTGGAACGGAGTGACAGAAAAAAATAATTAACAAGAAGATATCCAGTTTATGGTCAAAACATATGGGACAAAGTTGTTCAAAGTATTGTTATATCTCCTCCACTGATAAGTCATTCCATTCTAAAGCCCTATCAGAACTCCCAGATTCACTGATGGACTGTTATATTGGAATGGCTTTGAAAACTTACAGCCCTCAAAGTGCTCCTAAGACATATAAACATGTCTTTATTTAGAATGTAACATATAACACCTGCCATAATTGTAGATTTGAAACCACTTTCAATAAGAATTGAAAGGTCCTCTTCCTAGATGAAATAACACTACATGAGTTGTCTCTTCAGGAGAAATAGTGAGTTCTTGTCTCAGATGCCACAATGTAATATAAATGCACTTTCATGATAACAGGGCACACAGGACAGTATACTATAAAAAAGACAGTCTAATCTTCAAAGGTCACTGATCATCAATAAAATATTAAATAACAAAAACATCTGAAATACCAGATTATCAGTTTGGAACACTCTAGGTATTGTGGTATGCTGAAACACTACTGATAAGTAGAAAATGCTTCTTCATATTATGCAGAAATACATCCTGTCATAGGAATGGTAAATGAACTATAATAGTTTGGAACCTGAAATGTATAGATACAGTTTTTCCCTGGTCAGTGTGGCTCAGTTGGTTGGGTCATCCTGCAAACTGAAAGGTTGCCAGTTTGATTCTTAGTCAGGACACATGCCTGGGTTGTGGGTTTGGTCCCTGGTCGGGATGAGTGCAAGAGATGGGAAACAGAGATGTTTCTCTCTCACATCAATGATTCTCTCTCCCTCTCATTCTCCCTCCCTTCCCTCTCTCTAGAATAAATACAAGAAAAAAAACTTTAAAAGATGCATTTATATTTTTCTCAATAGTGATAGAATATATTTAAATGTTAATAAATAATATACTGTAAAGTTCTCATTTACCCCCTCAGAATAATGCCTAACGGCTGAGACTTTTAAACACCCTTTATCACTTTTTTGAATTCTAGCAACAACTTTAAATATACGTACAAGAATGATTAGACAAGCTGGTCCTATAAAACTCCAAATAAAGTTGTTTTCTGTGCTAAGCCAACATCTGAAAAGTAAATAATAGATAAAAAACTATAAATGTGCATGTATGTACTTTAACACAACAAAATTTTCAGTGATATATAAATCATGTTCAAAATTACATTTCAGATACTTTAAGATCATCTTAACTTACACTTTGGTGGTGCCATAATATCTATATCCCAATGATGCTGAAAATCCAACGACCACAGCTGGGCTGAGATAGCCAAAGATATAAAAATTCTTGTGCAAAAACCCCTTGTTGTAGATGACTCCCACAACAATGAGATAGAGGTGGATGCCTTCAATGCACATCCACGCAAAGGCAGCTAAAAAGAAGTAATGCAGCAGGCCAGCAGTGATTGAACAGAAGAGCTAGAAGTAAAAGAATGAAAGACACATAAAAATGTTTGCTTTAACATTATCATAACATAAAATCTTGACTTTCTTTATAAATCATGCCACTTTATATAATACTTGACCACATTAAAATATTCCTGTCAAGTGTCAGTTTTTTAAGATATGCCATTTTCAGCTGATTTGAAAGAACTGTGATTCATCAATGTAAAACATTTGCCAATCCTGTGATAGAACTAAGTAACTGTTCTTGTCCAGAGAATTTTGTTTTACACATTTATAAGTAAAATGACAAATTATGGATTTACATATAAACCATGATATCTTAGTGAATATATTATGATTTAAGCTAATTCTGTTTTGGAGATGCCTCACTCAGTTTTGTTCATACTCAATAAAAATTATTGCTAATACTACATAAACAAAACATAGTATCTTGATTAAGTGTCTAACATAAAACAGATAAATAATATATTTTTAAAAATATCCATTGAAGAATTACTTTATGTTATAAGATTACCAGGTAAATTTGAGATGATTTAAGTTAAATAGTATTTATTAGTATTTACTTTACATTTATACTTGGAGTTAGGCTTATAAGAAATAACAGAAAAAAGTAGTTACACATTTCTGTATTAATAGAACTAATGTGATCTATTATTGAGAGATAACATAATGCATACTTACATGCCTATTGTGTTTATCAAACAGTATAATTCAAGCATAATGAGATTACGATAGATAAAATATGGTGGGAAGTACTATATAAGGTTGGGAACAGATATCATTGGTGATTACAATTTGGGAACCAATTTTGGAGGACCCAAGATTTGAAATATGGCTTGAAAATGGGAAAAATTTGCTAGGTGAAAAAGAATTTAAAGTAAGCACTTTATAAGGAGTAGTTGTGTGGTGAGAATGATGGTGGAATAAGACTGAAGGAGGAAACAGGCATTAAGAATAGTGGTAGACATATAAAATTGAGAGGTGTTTGTCTAATGTATATTATTTAAAATAGAAGTTTAGTGGCATCTATTTCAGAAGAAAACCTTGACAGCTGATGGTTAGTTTCAATGCTTGAAAGATTTAAAAAACAATGGAGATGCGGAGGCAATTTAACGTTGTGGGCCACAGCCAGCACTTCTGCAGTCTCCAGTGCTAGAAGGGCCGCAGGCCTAGGGCTCCAGCTACTGCACTGGGAAAGCCATTGCCATGCTGTTTGTTTCTCTCAGCTGACCTGCCAATGACCCAGCATGGAAAGCTTTCTTTTTTTTTTTTTCAAAATTTTTATTGTATTTTTTCCTATTACCATTCATCCCTTTATATCTTCTTCCACCACTGTTCACCAACCTCCTCTCTCCCCACAATCACCACACTGTTGTCCATGCGCATGGATCCTTTTTCTTTGCGGTACAATCCCTTGACCTCCTAACCTCCCCTCAACACAGCCAACCTGGAGAACATTATGCTAAGTGAAATAAGCCAGTCAGAGAAAGACAAATACCGTATGATCTCACTCATATGTGGAATCTAATGAACAAACTGAACTAATAAGCAAAATAGAGAGAGAGTCATAGAGAGCAGGCTGACAGGCTTTGTAAGATGTTCCTGTTCTCTGAGAGACAGAGGACTCCTTTGTCATGTGACTCTGGCTTAAGATCTCACAGAACTCCTTGGCAACTATGCTGAACTTCCTTTAGAACTGCCCTGTGGGGTAAAATGCTTCCACCCACTTGTCCTTCCTTTCTTCTCTCCTTCACTCATGTTCAGACCTGTGTCATGGTCTGATGACTCTCCAGGTCTCTCTCTCCTCATTTTCTCTCTCAGTCATTTCACCTAATAAAAGTATTACATGTCTAAGTCCATTTTAGTGTCTGCTTCTAGGAGGACCCAGACTAAACACAATATGGAGAACTATTTGGTAAGGCCTTCAATGAATAATGCCAAAAAATGGTAGTTATTACAGTGTAGTTATTAAGTAGAGTCAGTTTTTCATGTTTCATCCTATGAAGACTCTGGCTGCTTTCATGTTCCTTCACAGTGTAAGGGGAAATTTATTTCCACTCCTCTCTCCCTCTTCCTTTGTTTAATGTCCATTTAAATTAAATCAAAACAAAAACTATTTTTTTATTTTGTTGCAAAGTTTCCATGTGTCCCAATATTTCATAATTAGGGATATTTTGGTTAATGGAATTGATAAGTACACTGCTTAGATATATTAGCAACATCAAAATAAGAAAAGACATAGTGTTTGCTCTATTAAACTGTTAATTACAATTCATGTTTCTGTGACATTTGCACTTCAGAAAGTACAAATTTAGAACATAAAAATAGAGAGTAAGGGAGATCTACGTACCTTATTAGAATTCGTATTGATCCCAACAAGAAAAACAAGTTCAGCAAGGAATAAGTTACAGCAGAGGTTTTTGTGAATTGTTGTCCTGGTGCTTTGAATTTCGCTGAAGAACCAGAAGGTAAAAATGCATATGGCCAGGCAGATCAGTGAAATAATTATTCCTAGTTGAGTGATTCTTGTAAGAATATTATAATCTTTAATACCCTAAGGGAAAATAATAATAAAGCTTCTCAGAGAATAACTCAGCAACTTGTCAAAGGAACTACAACATAAAATGAACTTTCATATTTGGTGAAACATTAATCAAAATGTCCATAAAATGTAAAAATACAAATGTGCATTTAGATGATTTTTGAAAATGCTCAATATTCAGAGAAATGTGATATAAATCATGTAACACTTGAACAGTTCTGTAATTAGTGATTTTTTTCCTAGGCACAGTATATATATTAGTATACAGTTTAATACTGTTATCATCATCAGTTTCATGGTATTAGAATAGTAATTCATTATTATAATGGAAAATGGTTAATTAAAACAGATTCATCAGTGGTAAGATCAAATCTTATTTCTATGCAGCAATTCATCTAAAACACATTAACAAATGTATTAGAAATGTTGAATATATAGTATAGGTGAGAGGTTTTTGAAATGAGAAAGATTGGTTTTATTCTAACTAGATGAATGTTTGTATTTTATATAAAGAATAGAGGCTTCTTTACTTACTTAATATACAGGAAAAAAACATCTTTATGACTGATATTATGGTTAGCCTGATTTATCTCTGTGTCAGTGTGTATATATACATGTGTATGAAAATTAAACTATAACTTAATTAAGATTGCTATGCAGAGGTATAAAATAAGGTATTACATAATATAAAAGCAAGATATTACCAATGTAAAATACATATTCTGAAGCTATTTACCTTAGGGTGATTTTTCATGTTTAAAAATCTTACGAGATTCTATATTATTAAAATATGATATTAGTTATGAATGTGCTAATGCTTATTGATCAGATGTCAGATATTTTTAACTAAGTTTTATTGGTAAAAAATAAACTTCATATACAAAGCCAAAGACCCTTAATATACAAGTAGTTTTTAAAAGCACCACTAGAAACAGAGTCAATGGATGGATACTTAACACAATCTACCACATACTACAGCCTAGATAAGTTCTAGACTAAAAATAACTAAAATCAAGTCTAGATTTGTCATAGAAGACAGGTAAGAAAAACAAAGACTGTAAAAAGACACAGTTCTATCAATTAATGAAATATGCTATTTATGTTAGCAGCTAGAAATGAGTGGCCCAGAGGGGAAATAAAGGCAGGGCCCTCGCCATTAGAATCTAACAAAGAACTTAACACAGGAGACTAGAAACAAAAGGGAGACACCTCTCACCGATTAACTCAGCAGTCCTGAGCTTGATTTGATAAGACTGCCAGGTCTCCCGAGCATTGCAAGCAAAAATAGTGTAGAAGAAAGGGAAGTCCTTGAGACTGTGCTGAGAAGAAGGGGTGGGGTTCTGTAAGCTTCTGTAACAATCTCACTAAGATTGTCAAGTATCCTGAATATTACAAGCAGGAATAGTACAGGAAAGGGGATTAGTCCTTGAGATTCTATGTTGGCAAAGGGAACTTCTGTAACAATTCAGTAAGACAAAGAGCCTTTACTAACTGAGAAAGAAAGCCTTTGTAGGTGTAAGTTATTTTAAAGGGGGAGAAGGAGAGGAACCTAGAAGCCAGCTGAGTTATATAACCGCCAAACCCCAGTAGTCGGCGTACTTAGATTAGCTAAGTACGCACTCATAACCTTTTTTCAAGTGTTAGAACAAACTAACTTCCTAACAAACTTCCTAACAACTTTCTTTTCTATGTGGGTTATTTAAATTTGTTGGGTGCCTGCTTTGCAGCTCATTGCTTGTATGTATATTTCACAAATAAACTCACTATCTCATTTCCACTCTACATTTTTGTCTCTCACTTGAATTATTCTCTTGCAGAAAGACAAGAACCAAGGCGGAGGAGAAAGGCCTCCTGACTTGGGTCTCTCTCTCTCCAACCATAATATTTATACCCCAAAGAACATATAAAAATTAATTATTCTCTTGAATGACATAAAAAGAACACATGTAGATTTATAAATATGAAGTAGAAAATTGCCTTACAATGGAAGTTCCAGAAGACATCAAAATGGCAAAGTGTGTCAGGTGATTACAGCTGCATGAGGTGTGGGTCTCATTTGTGAACGTTAGCTCACAGCCCTCTGAAGACCAGCTTCCATTCATGGTATCAGGGGAGTAGTTCCAAAATGCACAGTGACTCCTATACTTCTCTGTGGTCTGAAAAAGAGAGATTTTACTGATGGGAAAGAGAGAAAAAGTTACACATGTGGTATTATTTTGTCATATTTATAATACTATTTCCCATATCAATATATGCCTAAAAAGTAAAGCATAAAATCAATGCTAACAAATGAATGCTGCTGTTATATGAAAGAGTTGAAAATATTGCAACAAGGCTATATTTTATCAACATTGTGTCACAAAGTTGTGAAAATTATTTATTGTCAAATATGATCATATATGTATCAGAGAAGTGCATGACACTCATAATTATATGAAATTTATACAGTGTTTATTGAGTATATACTAAATATTAGTTTGATTTGCGTACTAAAAATGCAATGCTAAACAGAACAAAAGAAGTGTTTGTATTTTTGACTATACATTCTCAGGTGGAGATGAGCAATTATTGAAGAAAAATAAAGTAGAGAAAGAGGATAGAAAGCATGGAGTTTCATCGGAATGGGACTTTCCCAGGAGAGTCTAAGTGAGTATCTCAAGGAGGTGAGAGTGTGAGCTCTGGAGACTTGGGAACAGCAGGTTCTAGAGAGTTGGAATAGAAAATGGAAAAGCTATGAGGTGAACCTGGACAAGGATCTTCCAGAAACATCTAGAAACCAGTGTAGTCAGAGCACAGTGAATGAGATGAAGAGCAGTGAAGACAAGAACAGAGACAGGCAGGGGCTGATCACACAGAGTACAAGATGATTATTCAATAAATAGTGGTTCTCTTTATTGTATTTATATTAAACAATCATAACAAAATACCTCATGTACTGTAAGTTTTAATAAGAATTTATTCATACAATGATGAATATCCTACTCTTGTATCTTATAGAAATAAAAATTATTTATAATTATATACAGTTTACAGTATAAGTAGGTGCTTTCTCACCTACTTTGTTTAATTTTATTCTCAAAAGAGCCTTATGAGGTAGGTATGTTAAGAGGCTCAGAGATGTTGAGATGTACACAAGACAACCAATAGTAAGAAGAATAACAGAATCAAACACAAAGTTTCAGAAATATTAACAAAAATATTAGTCAAGTATCAAATATCTGATAGGTTTCTTGTGAGAAGCCAGAAATTCTCAGTCAAAAAGATAAAGCATCTTCCCTCAGGATGATAAAAACCCAGATGATTTCAACAAAATCAGTACTGCTTTAATGAGTTCTATGCTAAATCCAACACGTGGATCAACAACAGTTGGAGCACTGGGGGAGACAAACTGAATTTGAGTGAGTGAGTGTGGGAAGATGGTGATTGAGCTACGACTGGGGAGATGATAGGGAATTTTATCCAAAGAGGTCAAGCTATGTGAATAATATTGCCTCTGCATCTAATTTCTCCCAAACATACAGGAAAATTATCAACCACACTCTGTGGGAAACCAGATAAGCCAGAAAAAAAAATGGTGGGACTCAAGAACTGGGAAACCACAGTCAGCTGCGAGTGAGGGTGCCATTCAGAAAACAGGTTAAGTGAGAGTCTCTCCACACACTGAGCTCCCACCTGCGCTCACCATGTTCTCTTCATTCTCCTAATCCTTGCGAAAAGCTTCTGTCTTTAGGCATGACACTAACAGAATTTCTTCTGTCAAACTCATAGGCCCAGAGAAATGAATATTGGGTAGTGATGTTCAGGAAAGAGTATCAACCTGCCTGATGATGACTCTCTAGTGCAGCACACCATGGCCACAGGCACCTGAGCATGTGGGCATCTCTCAAATGCTTCATTTTCATATATGAGTGCAGAGTCTCAAACCACCAGAACTCCAAGGACAAGCTCTAACACGGAAGACAGACAGCAAAGGAAACAAGCCAAACAAGGGAAATCAGGAGCAACACAATATAGAAAGGAGAAAAAATTATTTTCAAGTATAGAAATAATATCTGAGAGAGAGAAAGAGATACTGTACCATTAAATAAAAGCAGAGCAAAAATTATAAGGTTTTCAGTGGTAAGTATAAAAGTTGAAATAAAAATGTTAACAGGAAAAAAATTAAATATGGAAAATATATTTTTTTAAAAATAAACATTTTAGTGGCTTGGCTGGGAAGTCTAAGACTTAAATAATAAAAGTAACAGGACAACAGAATGGAGACACTGGAGAAAAGAAATTACCAAAGATGTAATATTAGAAAATTCCCTGGAAATGACTTACATATGCCTAATACAATTCATGAAGAAAGACCCATACCTGGATTTATCTTAGATCAGAGCTCTGAGAATTAAAATACAATCCCAAAAGCTTCAGAGAGAGAAAAAGAGACTGACCACACATAAAAGGCTTCACATTTTAAGTAAAATATTAATCTCAATGAGCTTCTCTAGGTTAACTTAAAAGTGAGAAGACAATTGAGCAAGGTCTAGAAAAATCTGAAGATTGACTTTTTTTAAATTAATAATTGTACATCATGGAATTTATCTAAGTGTAAGGATAATCTACCTCAAAAAGTTGACCTTCCTTACACCTCTTCTCAAGAACTACTGAAAAATATGTGGAAATAAAGTAAAGAAAAGGAAACACCAGCTCAAGGAAACCTTGAATCTGACACAGGAGACAGGTGAGCAGCATGTCTCAAATGATGGTGAAAGTCATGTCCAGGCCAAAGAGTAAAGCAATCATATAGGACTAAGATTACAGAGGCCTGGGAAGAACGTCCCTAGGACAACGAATTAGCTAATAGTTTATGTGTTTCACTGTTTTTTTGAAGATATACAGAAAGTTTGGGCACAAATTAACAATAGATAAATAGAAATCTAAGCCAACTAAATTAAAGGAATGTACTAACACCAGGAAAATGGTTCAGCTTCATGATTCAGTTGTGAATAATACAAATTAAATATAATAATGTGCATGTTGAAAAGTGATTTAACCTAAAATTTGATGTAAGCTTGGGAGTATGGATAGTTGTGAAAGTGTATGTATCACAGGAAAAGATGTGTGCAGGAAAACGAAATATGAATTTCTCACAGGTGGAAGTCAATTGAATATGCCTATTTTACAAGCTTAATATATAAATAACTCACATGACTCCACTCCAGGAAGACTAACTACCCAATGAAAAAAATGGGCAAAGTTTCTGAACAGACACTTATCCAAGGAGGACAAACACAGGGCCCAGAGACATATGAAAGGATGCTCGGAATCACTAGCCATCAGAGGGATACAAAATAAAAACATAATGAGATACTACTTCACACTGGTGAGAATGGCCATCATAAACAAATCAACAAACAAGTGTTGGAGAGGATGTGGAGAAAAGGGAACCCTAGTGCACTGTTGGTGGGAATGCAGACTGGTACAGCTGCTATGGAAAACAGTATGGAATTTCCTCAGAAAATAAAAAATGGAACTGCTTTTGCCCCGGCAATTCCACTGCTGGGATTATACCCTAAGAATCCCGAAACACCAATTCAAAAGAATCTCTGCATCCCAACATTCACAGCGGCACAATTTACAATAGCCAAGTGCTGGAAACAACGTAAGTGCCCATCAGTAAATGAATGGATCAAAAATCCATGGTACATTTACACAATGGAATACTAGGAAGCAGAAAGGAAAAAAGAGCTCCTACCTTTCGCAACATCATGGATGGATCTGGAGAGCATTATGCTAAGTGAAATAAGCCAGGCAGTGAAAGACAAATACCATGTGATCTCACCTATAAGTGGAATCTAATCACCAACACAAACAAGCAAGCAAAATATAACCAGAGGCATTGAAATAAAGAACAAACAGACAGTAACCAGAAGGGAGGGGAGAGGAGATAATGGGGGGAAAAGGGGGAAGGATTGTCAGGAATGTGTATAAAAGACACATGGACAAAGCCAAAAGGAGGTAGGATCAGGGGTTGGAGGTGGGGATGGTTGGGGTGGAGAGGTCTGGTGGGGGGAAAATGGAGACAACTGTACTTGAACAACAATAAAAAAAAGAAAAAAAAACAGAGGTGCTTTGAGTTTGGGTGAAGGAGATACAGTATTAATGAGAATATGGTTCTTTTTGTGTAGTAAGCTAGAAATGTGAGCCTATTTGTTGGTGGAGACACTGGCACTAATGTGGAGATACCCATGAAAGATCAGATAATAAATGAAGCATAGGGATGGGTTTCAGAGCACAGCATTGGGCAGGGCATCATTACAGCTGCTGAAAGCATGGATTCTGGGGGAAGACTTTCTGGTAATAAAACCCTGTTTTACCAGTTGGTTACTGAGGCAAGTTACCTAATCTCTCAGAGTCTCAGTTTTCTTATCTGTAAATTGAGGATAATACTACCATATTTTCAGACCATAAGACACACCTAGGTTTTAGAGGAGGAAAATAGGAAAAAAATTTTGAAGCAAAAAATGTGGTAAAATATTTAATAACATAAGTAACATAATATTTTACCAATGTAAATGTAAAGAGAACTCAGCAGCAGCATTAACAACCACTATTCCTCCCAAATTTGGTGGGGGGGAGTGCGTCTTACAGTCCGAAAATACAGTATATCCCTCATAGGTCTCTTGTGAAATTAAATGAATTCTTTAAAAAGTAAATAACTTAGAACAAGGCCTGGTCCCATGTAAACATTACTAAAGTACTGGTTGTCATCATCATCATCATCATTATTATTATTATTAACAATATTATTATGACAACTGTTAATATTCCCCTGGGGTGATAGAGACATCTATACTAATTGGTAAAGTTGTAAATAAATTAACAGAGAATCAGAAAACTGGTGTTATATATGAGATAACTTCTATTTTCTTAGAAAAAATAGGATCCAAGTTTTATTCTCAGAGAGAGGAAACCATGGATTAGCTAGATGTGTTGTCAGAGGAAAGTGATGAAATTTCACAGTGATCATTACTTCAAATGGGAAAAAGATTTGACCAGAGAGGCAGATAGGACAATAAAAATTTTCCACTAGTTATAATAAAGAATTTTGGTTTAATATGTGATTTGTTTTCTTGCTGTGTCATACAGATTGAAGTAAGTTGTCCTTGACATCTCTTTACTTGCCAAACATTCAACCAACAAATACTAGGAAAACCATCGGACTATGTAAAATAACCGTTTGGTTTCTAGTGTCAAACAGGTCATTTTCATTTAGCATCTGAAAATAAGTTTAGTTTCCATTCTTACAACATTTCACACCTTCTATTTCTCTCAACAGAATGCTTCCAATGTTTAGATTTGAGCTATTTTCCTGCACTTCTCTACATTTAGTTTCTCTCTACATTAGGTGTCATTATTTATAGTGACACATTTGTATAGTGGGTAATCATATATGTCATTTTAGTTCCCTCTCTCCCCTGTAAGTGTGTCAATGTAATTGGCCAGCTGCAAGATTCTCCAAATGGAACATCATGTCCAGGGCTGAAATTCTACTAAAAGACCAAGAAAACATTAACTGTAAAAAAGCAGCAAACACTATGACTTCGAGTTTCCCCATTCATTTTTAGGTATATAAAAACTAAAATACTTGGTTATTGCTAATCATTTTTTTATTGTATTGTTTTAATGAGTATGAGTTTGAAAGAAAGATTTAGAATAACAATAAAAGAGTGAAATAGTCTCAGCTAATTTCATTATGAAATATTATAACTTCCCTGTGATTGTATTTTAATCAGCACCAAATCTGTACAAACATTATTTTAAATGACAGTTACCAACCAAACACTGCCTTAATTACACCAGTAACATTTACTTATTTGACACTGATACATTTTTATAACTCATTCTGTAAAGGCACAGAGATTTCCAAAATGAACAATGTATGTACTTAAAAATAAAACGAAAATGTAGCTTCATTTTAGAGAATCAAATACTAAATTCTTTAGTATTTGTTAGATAGTTTAAACAGTATTGAACAAATAAAAATATTTTATAAAAAATTAGTTGTAGCCACTTTATTCTTTTTATGTTGAATCTGTTTTTCTAAACTCAAGAACTCACATATAGTTAGCAACATAACAAAGATGTCCACTTTTCTTAATATTTCACAATCCTAACCAATAGTCACCAGAAAAACAACTTACCTTTATGTGACTTAAGGTAAATGTTATTTTTTCAAGTTCATACAATGTGGGTGGATTTGAGCTAATTGAGACTGAAATTATTGAAGAGATGACTCTTTTATCTTCTTCAGAATTATCATAACTTTGAGGTTCCAATAAGATGTTGTCAGATGATGAGAACAAGGGACCAATGCTCTTATAATATAAAAATGCAACTGCAACACTGCCTATAAATCAAATAAGTGTACTTGGTGAAATTATAGAACAAAATATATTTAAGCTCTTAAAAAATCATAATTGAACAGACTAAATTTTTACTCTAAAGGAGTCATACGCAGATACTTATTTTTAAGATCCAACCTTAAGGAAAACAAAGTTTCTCCCCCTGCTTTCTTGAGATCTGATATTATCACTGTCCCTTTCAAATGTCAGAGTTCACTTGCATGATCACACATGTAACAACACTACCATATACTCAGATAGGATCTCTTTGAGATATTACATGACAATTTCATCATTCATCACTATAAGTCCTTAATGTTTCTTTAACTTCTAAACACTACTCGAATCTTTGAAAATATGACAGTTTAACAAATTTTTTGACTTTGCCCCTAAATAATTTATGTGTTCTTGGTTAATTAGAATATGACATTATAGGGTAAGAGCCATGAATTCAATGACAGGAAGACTTAGTTACTTTTGCTTTGTTTAGTGGCCATCTGTTTCTTATTTTTACATAAACACTAATGAGAATAAATGGAGAGGATGCTATCGATGGATTAGAAAAAATAGTTCACATTAGTGATGTGGAAAATTTTTTGAAAAGATATTCTTCTGCAATTGAATGCACAACATGCTTTTTGATCATAAAGACAACATATCTTTTTATTAAATGATGATTATGAGAACTTACATGTATTATTGCATATATTTTCCTTTGCATTTATGAACACCCATATATTCTTTAGAAAAATATAATTCATGCTGTTCCTAGGTAATATATTTTAAACTATATGAAGAGAACAATCACAGTTATTCTACTATCAGCAGAGATTTGCACTAAGAGCATTGCACTGAGAGAGGAGATAAATGGTTAAATTAAAATAGCAGCTGCTAGCTTGCTTGTGGTTAGGTGACAGGGAAAAGTTGGCCTGTTTTCTTTGTCAGTTCCCTCCCTCCTGGTGCTGGTTCTGTACTATCTGCTGATATGCATAGTGACAAATCTTTTAAATTCTGTGTGAGTTTAATAATGATACTATGCAGCTTTTAACTAATGCATACATTTATTAATGGATATTGTCAATAAATGAATAATAAATGAGGGAATTAAGTTAGATAATCATTAAGTTACCTGCTAGTCTAGCATTCTGTGTTTCCATTTCCTAAGAAATCTCACTGTTAGTTGAAGACTATGAAATGACAAGTGGAAAAAAACTCCAAGCCTAAACAATAACTTTCTGTCTTTTTTAATATTATCTCTGTCTACTTTACAGACTCACAAATTCAGTCTCACAATGAAAAAGACAAGGGTTACTGAAGAAGAAATATTAAAAACTCTTTGCAAATTGCAACATCCATTGACTGCTGCAAACCAAGCAGTAAAGCTACATATTTTTTGTATGTTTTCATTAGAATCTGAAAAATCAGATTACAAAGGTTGGAGGTAAGACAAGAAAGGTGTAGAGATTATCAACTAAAATTCCCCAGGTATTTATACCTTAGTAATACTCAAGTACAAATTTAGAAAATCTGTATATAAACATCAAACAATTTTCTATAGGAAACCAAGCATATTATATGTTAATACAATACAATCAAGTGCATAATAAGTATTTATTGCAAATTAATGTCATTGTATGTAAGATTGTCAGTGTCCTACCATGTGAATCATCTGGAGCTTTTCTCTTTGGAAATATCTTGATATAATCTCCATCCACATCCATATGGGGATGAATATGTTTCATGTGATGTGAATCAAAAAAGAATGCCCTGAGAGCTGAAACAAAACCACAAAAATTATAAATTCCCTGAAATTACTTTAATCAATGTATTTATTAAGTTAGAGACAACTTTATCCACCACTATTTTATCTTAACTTTTTATTTATGGCAGGTAGCATAAACCTATTCTGAAAATGTTTAGAAATTATAACTTATATAATAAAAACTGGTTCAAGTTTAATTATTTTTATTTTATTATAATACTCATTGTTTATCTTTATTAAATTAAATAAAAGAGAAAACATATATGAACACAAGGAGGCTATATAGCATAATTACCAAAGTAAAGAGTAAGAACTATAATATCTTAGAGGATAATATCTATAATTACTATATGGAGAGGGATTGAATTTAGTTCCTATAGGATAATTTCCTTATCTGGTGTATTTTCATCTTTTTCATGCAGGAATCCCATGGAAATGTATGCTCCTATATGTTGGTCAGAATGTTTGCTACTTTAATTTTGAGTAAGTAGTGAACCTTGATAAGATATTTTTTGCTGTGTATCTACTGTTGCATAGCAGGATGCTACCCAGAAAATATAGGAGATATATAAACCAGTATTTCAGAAAATTTGCTTTTGTTTTTTCTGAACAACTTGATCAGCAACTTCAATTTGATCCAAGATTCCTAGTGTTTTAAGTATAAGATTTCATGAAGCAGGAAACATTCTAATTTACTATATTGATTGCTTTATATTATTACCAAAAGGCAAAGGGTTCCTAAAGGGAAATTTAAATATACTACATCCAGAAAATCTGTCAGTCACTATCACTGGTCAAGGTAGATCCTAACAAGTCATGAGATGGCTAACTCAGAATGGAAAGGTGGAGCAATTAAATGCTCTCCAGTTCAGGAATAGGAAAGGGTGGAGACTGCAGGAACAAGGTGGCGCTCATGTATGCATCCTTTACTCATGCCACTCCTGTAGTATGCAGAACCTTTCATTTCTACATTATTAAAACAGCTGCCTTTTTAACCAATAGTATTTTAAATACTCTCCTTCCCTCTGGAGAATGGAGTGTTTAGAAAATAGTATTGTTTTGAAATTGACCTTCATTTCTTACCTACATCACTTGAATTGGTATCAAACTGAGTGGTCTTTTGGAAGTTCTTAGAAATACTTAAGGTAGCTTGTTCAGCTGCATGCATCAATTTTGTAAGATGAATTCTTCTATGAGTCACAGGTAACTTGTCCCAGACTATAAATGTATCTTTTTGAATAAAATTATTCACAGTTTTTACAAATTCCTGTTGGAAAAAAGTATATCCTTTATACATGTTGGAATCTTTCATTAATCACAGACGTAAGGGGAATTTTGAAGCTCAATAACATTGAGTTAAAGTTTAACATACTTACAGCAAGAGTTGAATTAGAAATTGTGTCCTTGTCTGAGTTAGTGCTATTGATGACTCCCAGTAATGGTGATGATTTTGCTAATATTTCTATATATGTAATTATAGCCATCGGGGAAAGATCTTTCACAGAATTTTTATAGACTTCTTGTAGTAAAGCCACAGGTTGGTCTATGTGTCCAATCTGAACAAAAATGAGTTCAGAGAAATGAAAACAGTTTAGGGTACTGCTGGATCCTTTTAAGAATAAAGGTTGTATGTTAAATTTTTTCCAAGTTTGGCTTTTGTCTTATACATTAATAAGATGAAACCATAGCATGGAGTACTAAAACCCAAAATTACATACCAAAGCTTAGCAAATAATTTAAAAAGCATAGACATTACTTCAGAAAAGGAAAAGCATGTTTGAATTGATAATTTAAAAAATAGCTTTAAATCAACAAAACAAAGAAACAAGCAAAATATAACCAAAGATACAGAAATAGAGAACAGGCTGACAGTGTTCAGAGGGGAGAGGGGAGGGAATTTCAGGAGAAAAGGGGAAGGGTTTACAGGAACAAGTATAAAGGACATATAGACAAAAACTAGGGGAGGGTGAAAATGGGAGGGAGGTGGGGAGGGCTGGGTAGGTGGTCTGGGATGGGAGTAAAAGATAGAAAATTGTGTTTGAACAACAATTAAAATAAAATTAAAAAAAGAAAAAATAGCTTTTAAAGATATATTAATTATAACTTAAGTTGAATTAGCTTTTAATCAACCAGAGAAATTTCTTTACAATGTGGTAAAATGGCAATTGCTTTAGCTGATTGTTAATTAGTTCTGTTGAGATTCACACTTTCAATCACATGACAATAGTTTTATAGGTGCTCTACTTTTTATTTACTCTTTGAAATGTTTACTCTAGAGAATGAAATTTAGATTCATTCAACTGTGGCTCTTTAAAATGTGGGAATGGGACCAAGATCAAAGTGTGGTTTGGATATTTTATTCATCTAATTTATATATTGAAAGGAATTTTCTTGTATATTGAACAGTGATAAGTAGCATAAGTTAATTATGTGTAAGTCTTCCTCAAAACTTTGGGGATTTTCAAATTAATCCTATCTATGACTCAAATAAATTACTTAGATCTTTGTATGTAAATAGTTTCTACTCTTCATGATAATTAACTGCTTGTTACACTTTTTAAAATGTGGCATTGAAAAAAGTTAACTAAATCAAACTATCAAAGTAAAATAATTTTAGTTTAACTAGTCCATTTACCTTTCTTAAAACTTTATCAATATTTGCAGCACTACAGACATTATCTAAATGGCAGTCTGAATTCACATTTTCTGCAGAAGAAGAAAACAGATCATATAGTAAGTTTTAAAAATATTTTTCCTAAGGTGATTATATTGATTCCAATGATTTTGCTTACTTATTTAAACATTAAAAACACATTTTTTAAAAAATAAAAACACATTCTTAATTAGAATTATATTTTCATTCTTTATTCAAATAAAATTTAATTTTTCATTATTCATTATTTTAATAATTTTATTCATTATAAAAGTTATTCATTAAATACACAATTATTATAGAAAATGGAAAAATATGTTAACTACATCAAACATATAGTCTACATCTTCTGTTAAGAAAACAATACTTTTTTTACAATATTTATTTATTTTTACAGAAAGGGGAAGGGAGGGAGAAAGAGGGAAAAATTAATGTGTGGTTGCCTCTCACACTCCCCCCACTGGGGACCTGGCCCACAACTCAGGCATATGCTTTGACTGGGAATCGAACCAGCAACCCTTTGGTTCTCAGTTTGCCACTCAATCTACTGAACCATACCAGCCGGGGGAATTTTTCTAATTTCATTTTACAGACAATAAAGGAATACTGGGACATTTCTTGGGGGTGTAGCTCTTTGACACTTCACCACCGTGCAGTACATATTTTACATAGTTGTTTGATAATTTACCTTGGCAGTAAGTGCCATCAGTAGGTGTGAATTGTGCTTTTCCTGTGGATGTCTGATAACCTTCCTTGCAGGAGCAGCTGAACCCACCATCCACGTTTAAACATACTGCATGATCACCACAGGCAGCTGATTCACTGCACTCATCTATATCTGGAAATATTAGAAAAAGTAACTTTTTAATTTAGTACTCATATAGATGTTATAATACTGATAATATTACTAAGTACAGTTAGTGACTTCATAACAAATTTTATAAGAATGCAAGAAAATATATCATTTGGAAAAATGACAGAGCTAACTTAGCTGCATATATTTGTTTGACCCTGATTGGTTTGATCTATTTTGGCAGTGGTGGATTGAAAATGTTATTCACGGGTCAAACTCTTGAATTGTTTTCTGAATAGCATGATTCATCAACAAAGACATTACAGTAATTTTTGCCATTGACTATGTAATATTTAGTCCTAATCTAATAAAAACCCAATTTGTAAAATGATTTGTTTTCTAGTATGAAACATAATTAATTATAGTAACTTAGCTTAGATAAATCTGAAGGGTAAAAAAGAATAGCCCGGTTTCTTCCCAAAGTTTCATTTTTGTATGTAAGTTAACCTAAAAATTAAGATTTAGCAGAATGTGTGATTCAATCCCCTTAAAAATTTACCCCAATTTTTGCTTTCCTTCACATTACTATATTATATAATGATTCTTAAAACACACCCGACATAGATAAAGTAACAAATTGTATGGAATTAAGTCTTAGATTTTTCAATAGCTATATATCAAAGCAACAATAAAAATAATAGGTTTTAAGCTCACATAATTTATGTTCTTAATTTAAAGTTTTACATACTATAGTGAAATATATCTTAAAGTAATAAATACAGTATAAATACTCTGCCATTAGGCAGAGTTCCAAAGGGAATAATTCCAAGAAACTGAAGTCCAGTTTGTTACCTTAAACTAATGCAAAGATTTTTTGTTTCCAGACTGGCTCTGATATCTTAGAGCTACTCTGATATCTTAGAGCTACTAGATTAATGAATAAATCTGTACTCTTAAGTATACAATTTTATTTTTAAAAATGAAGAAAGTGGTACAATGCTGTTTGTCATAAAAAGGAAAGTAATCAAAGTTAATTAAAATATCACCTAGTTAGTGATATTAAAGGTACTGATACTAATTTTTCATTTAAAAATGCAATAAAGACACATAAAAATATTAAAATTCACACTACACAAAATTGAAACTGACAATAAATGTGTTGCCAGATTCTTGAAGACATTTCTCTTAGCTAGAAAAGTGATGATACTAGATTTAAGAAGACAATTAACAGGGTGGGATAAATGGTAGAAAATCCCTTATTCTTCTGCCAAGTCTATACATTCGTGATCTGTGCTGCCCAGAAATCTGAGTATGTTACTTTTGAAGAAACAGAACTGTTGCTCTAGCATCTTCACCCTCTTCCTCTCATTTCTATACATGAAATGATAGAAACATGAGGTTCAGAAACTGTCACTCCAAAAAAAAGAAAGTAGTGTATAAGTAATAATAGCAGATTAACTCTTAAAATATGGAGAACCACCAGAGAAAGCATCCAAGGTTGAGCCAAAGAAAAGAACCCAGGTAGGAGTGCAGACTAGGGTTATTATTTTTCATGAAATCAATGGAGTGAGAAAAAAAGTATGAGTTTGCAAAAGATGAGTCCTTTTTGATGTAAAGCTGAAGAAGTAACAAGACTGTAACCAATGGGGAAATACCCCAAAGAAAGTGTAAACACATCCATGAAGTATCATGAACAGAACAATTTCTTTCATGGATACAAAAGCTTTGTTTTTGAATGCCCGTGTTTCATATCTTTAGGTACATTCTACAGTTTAACAGAAAACATGTTTTTTTTCTCAATTTCAAAATCATTTTAAAGGTGCAACATTTCTTGGGAATGTCATCTCACACCCAGTCTCTGAGCAACACACAAATCTTGCTCTGTAAACTCAATTTCCATCTTTCCTCTTGTACTGTGGACACATGTGTATACAATCTTGGTGCTCATAACTGACTGGGTTTCAGCTTTCCCCTACGCCTTCTCTTCACCCTGCAGTGGTTATGTTGGGATCTCCGTTCTAGTTCAAGCCCTCTCTACTCACTAAGCTAGTTGGTATCCCAGAATGTCATCTTTGGACCAAGGAGGATATTTCAACTTCTGAATTCACCAGTTGACAAAATGGTAATCTGTCAACTTTATCAGGTAGTATTCTGAGAGGCTAGTATTAAAGATTAGCATTATGTAAACTTTTGTATTCTGACTCTAAATGTTATAAAAGAATATAAATATCTGACCAATGTTTCTTTAAACCTTAATCATCTCATCGAAATAATGCTTTCCAAACTATTTATTCTTTTCTTATTTATATTTTTTCCCATTACTTTTGTAAAATGTGGATGTGAATCTTGTTGAATTTGATATCCTTTTCACTCAGGGTCTGAGTAGTAAAGTTTACTGAGTTTAACCTAATAACCAGTGTGACTAGCACAGCTGGCTGTGCGGCAGGGGAGTCAAAGAATGTCTGCTAGTCTCAGCTTATCATTCTATATGCCCCTTTGCTACCCAGTAAAACAGAAAATTATAAAATATTGATAGAATATCCCATACCCAACTGGGGTGAACCTGGATTAGCCAAAACAAATGTGACTGCCATTTTACAGCAAGATCCACACTAACTTCCCTTCCAATTGCAGTGCTTAGTTGGTTTGAAGTTAATAAAACAACTCTGGATGCCCCCTAACTTTATATTATTCATTAATTTGGGGGCTTTGGGTATTGCTATAAAAATACTTTTTAATGCCAAAGAGTTCTTTTTCATAACACATGAGGAAATGTGTGCGACACTAATTGGAGTACTGCCTAAGATGCAGTAGGAACCTGATATTGTAACTAGGAACTGGGTCCAGTGATTTTGTTTATATTATACTTTTTCTTAATAGCAGGAGCCCTGTGAATGTGTGGGTTTGAGGAAAACAGATTGATAATGAGTGTCTCAGGTTTCTATGTCTTGGAACTTCCCAAAGCTGTGAAAGAGAGAAAAATAATCCCCCCACCCTTCTTAATGAAGGCAAAGTAGCTACAGTGTAATTATTTCAGTGGAGCTAGAATTGACATACCGTATTTAAGAATTGATCCACTTTTTCCACTACGACTCTAACTCTCGGCTTAATTATGCTAACTTGATTTCTCTAAATGTAGAAACATCATAAAAATCATTTGCTTGTTTTGCACATCAAAAATTTCACTTGCTACTTTTTCATTAATAAGTTTTTACTGGTTTTCATATCTACAAAGAGCCAACCCAGAAGAATATTATCAGAATTTTCTTTCAAAACATGATCATATGATTGATTCTTACAATTTTCATCAATAGCTGAATTTTCAAAAGTTGTTTAACTCACAGACTTGAAAGAAAAGAGAAAATGTTTAATTATTGGAAGTAATTTGCAGAGACAAAATTGGATGTTAATATTATTCAAAGCCAGGGGAAAAATCTGAAACTATGAGAGTTCCTAGGGAAACAAGATATAAAAGATTACAAGCAGTAAACACAACTCTTAAGCCCAGTGGGAAACATGAAGGCATTCTTGAGTTCTGCTCATGTGGTGATGGGAGAGTCACTTTACTGTTGAATGCCATTTGAGAAACACAAGTCTGGAACTAGGTCTCTGCAAAGTTGGGCATCTGAGGTTTTGTTTCACTGTGATTCCAAGAAGAATATTATTCATGATGCTAAATCTTACTTGAAGCCTTCTGCGACAAAATGATGTTATCTGTGTTAAACTGTATTTGAATAGAGATTAAAGGCAAAGAATTTCACTTGAGTCATTTCTTGACCTGACCTGGAGTTTTTCATTAACTATTTATAAAGATTCTTAATGACTATAACTATGAGACATGTCCACTTCAAGTATCAGCTAAACTTTCAAGAGCAATACATGATAGGGTGATGCACTAATGTTTGAAGAGAATAGAATTATGGTACTCTGTTCCAGTTCCCTGAGGATCATCACAGTGCAACAGAAATTACTACAAGTCTGGAAAAAATAAATAGCTACTCTGCTTCTCAAAAAGGCTTAATCCTTAAGGACAACAAAATTGGTGAGAAATAACAATTTTCCAGAGAATGAGTTTTTCACAGAATAATCCATCAAACAAAACAGGTAGAAACTGAAGGACTCCATATTGGATGCTGAATTTTAATATAGTTATTGTGTTCACTGATTACTTAAAATAGCTAAAAAGGGAATTAGCAAGAAATTAGGGCCATTCTCAATAATAAATGAACATTGGGAGAAAGAATTCTAAATTACAAATGTATTGCACCCCCATAAAATGTTGGCATTAAATCATCTTTGGGTGTGTGTTTTCTCTGTATCTGTGATTTAGGTTTTCTCTAATATAGGAATTCTGTACTTGTAAGGAACACAGAGAAATATGGCTCTTTGTGAATTGAGGCATATTAAAAGTAAACATAATCAGATAAAATGCAAGGTATCTTCTAGAGACGAGGAGGAATGGAGAGCACAATTAAAACTGCATCAAATTCTAGGGATTAAGATGTTGCAGTTAGATTTTTTTTTTCACTTACTGGGACCTTTCTAGTAAATCTTACATAGCTACATAATTAGAACTTAACTACCAAAGGTAAGATACTCACATTAACATAACATTATAAGAAGACTAGCAATAAGAGTATATATAGGCTTAAGAAAAACCAAGAGTGAGGTACTGTAAGAACTTCATGTTTATCCTTTTTCCTTAACTGTAAATCTATATTCTGATAAAAACGTTTGCTGCAAACACTAAAGATAAAATTATTATTTAACCAAATAGTATTATTTTTTCATAGTTTACAGCTTTTATGCCCCTACAAAATTTGATCCATGGCATTTGCATGATTCAGATCCATGTGTGAGATTTTAATGCCCACCCACTTCAGTCTCCTGTGGAAATAACAATGGCTTTTTAGATGCAAGGCTGTGATCTAATGCTCCCTTTATCCTAAATGAATGGGGAGTGGTCCTGCACTTCCCCATTGGCTATAAAATGAGTAGAATAAAATCTCCTGTTTACATAGCAGAGTAAATGGTATGAACCACAGGTACATGATAATTTCTTTGATACAGACATTTCACTGATAAATTTTCTTTGAACGTTATCTGCTGGCTCATCATGTTGTTAATAATAACATTGCCAGATTTCTGCTCAGTTCACTGATGAGCATCTCACTAGGGACCTAATTAAAGGCCTTAGTGTGATCTAGATTGACTAAGACCTCTCTCTTTTTTATCTAACTATGTAAAGGAGAAGCAGTATATTATTTCTTTTTATTTTATTTTTTATTTTAATTGTTGTTCAAGTACAGTTTTTTGCCTTTTGCCCCCATCCCAGCCCCCCCAGCCCTCCCTACCTCCCTCCCACTTCTGATCATGTTCCATTGAAAGTCCTGAGTTCTAGTCCCATATCTACCCCTGGCTATATGGTTCAACTCTTAGGTCTCAGCTCATCTATTAATCTTGTAGATAATTATTAATAATAATTAATTGTACTAGTTGTTGATAAACTGGACTATTATTTTAGAAATCACATGTAAAATGATTTATGATTTATTTTCAAAAGTGAAGTCTTTCACTTCTGAGAATTTGCTTCTGAAAATTGTTCACCATTTGAAATTTCTAATCTTTTCATCTCAGAATATAATCCAAACTCTATAGGATCTGATAAACCAAATGGATGACCACATTACAATAGAAGGACATTTAAAAACATCTAGATTCTCTCTTCATATTCAGTTTATTTCACTTAAGGATTGAATTGAAATTTCTATCCATCCCAGAGGATATTTTTAAAAAATTATTGTTGTTTAATTACAAATGTTTCCCCCATTACTTTCCCCTGTCTTACCCACATCCCCAACTCCTAAAGGGTATTTTAGTGAAATTGAAATGATTTTCTAAGTAGGATTCTAGTGTTCAGAAAACCTTAATGCATATTTTAAGTGTGACTAACTTTTTGAAGGAAGAAGTAAAGTGCTAGTACAATTCTTTTATAAGTAATTCCTATCTGAACATATCAGAGAAAATATAGAACTCATTTTAGCATGTGTAGTTGTGAAAGCATCAATATCTTGTGTTGCAAATCATAATTTTCTTAAGTTAGTATTTTAAAGTGTAAATATTTCTTCTGTTGTTTGTCATCATGATTCATGGATTTTGTTTTGTAAACTATTTTATTTTTCTCAAAAAAATCTTTTTCTTATATCCTGGGATAAATATTTCATAGAAACTGATTAGACAACATTGGAGAAATGAAGGAATTAGTGAAGTTTCTGAAAGCATTTAAGATACAGGGTATAATCAAGGACTGGTAGAATTTGGTTTAAATATTACTTAACCTATGGGGGCAATAAGCATTAAAAGGTAGGTCCAGATTTCAAGTGAGATGGGTGACTTACCGATGCAGATGGTCCCATCATTAGTGATAAATCTGTCTTGGTTGCTGCTGGATCTGAAGCCACCTTCACACATACAATAGTAACTCCCCTCTGTGTTAGTGCAGTTGGCATTTTCACCACAGGCCTGGGTTAAGTTTCCACATTCATTATCATCTGCAGAAATATAAATTAAAAACATTATTTTTATATCACTTACATGAGTGTTAGTATTTTCCATCAGTATTTGGGAATTTTGGCTGTTGAATAGTTTAAGGCAATATTATGTTTTTCCCCAAGTTAATGCTTTTCTTAGGGAAAACATTAAAGAAGTCACATTCTATACTTGTTTTATTCTTGTTTATAATGTAAGCATTTCTTTGTAGTTGCAAAACAAAATAGAATCCTTTACTTCAAAATCAGTGAATATAGTTGTTGAATCTATAATGAAATATTTTTCACATTTTATATGTAGTTTTATTATGTCAATTTGTGAATTTATAATGCTCGTTATAATCAGTCAAAAGCATTGCATAAGTTAAAAATGAAAAACTGGAAATTACAAATTAATATGCTCCAATTATATACATTTATTTTTATCACTTTTTCCCTCCATGGATTTTGAATTGGCTCTACAACCCTTCACTTATTCATTAATGCATTAATTCATTACTATATGCATTATATTTTCCTAGAGAAGAGTACACAAACACACAAAAATTATATCATGGCCCATGTCCTTACTCTTAGATTTTTTTAATGCTTTTCTTTTTTAAAATTTTTATTAGATTTATTAGGGTGATAGTCATCAATAAAATTATGTAGGTTTTAATTCTACAATTCAAGAATACATCAACTATATATCTCATTGTATATTTACCAGTCAAAATCAAATCTCCTTCTGTCACCATATATTTGGCCCATTTTCCTCTTTACTACTCCCACACTTCTCCCCTCTGGCAACCACCACACTATTCTCGGTGTCTATGGGTTTTTGTTTGTTTGTGTGTTTTGTTTGTTCACTTGTTCCTTTTGGTTTTATATCCCACATTTAAATGAAATTATAGTTCACGGTGGGCAAGACATGGAATCAACCAAAGTGTCCCTTAATCAATGATTGGATAAAGAAGATGTGGTACATATACACAATGGAATACCTCTCAGTGAGAAGAAAAGATGAAATACTGTCAGCTGTGACAACACTTAGATTCTTATAATTTGTCAGAAAATACATAGGTTTGTAAACCCTTTATAAAATCAGAAAGCAGGTTTATATTATTTGTCGAATAAGGAGAAATCAAGTGCTGCTCAGAAGTGATCATGATGGGCTGGAGGAGAAAGATAATATTTTCAGGTGACATTATATCCTGTTGTGGGTTGAATTGTATCTCCCCCAAGGTATGTTTATGTCCTGATCCCATGTCTGTGAATGCAACTTTGTTTCCAAATAGGACCTCTGCAGATGTAATCAAGTTACCACACAGTCATAATAGATTAGCTGGACCCCAATCCAATACTGGTGTCTTTATAATATGCAGGCAATCTGGATGCAGAGACACAGAGAAGGCAGCTACATGCAGACAGAGGCAGAGTTTGAAGTGATGCAGTTGAAAGTCAGGGAATGACATGTAGAGCTGGCAACCAGTAGAAGACAGTAAGAGAGAGGTAGGATTCTTCCCCAGACCCATCAAAGGAAGCATGACTCTTTCAATAATTTGATTTCAGACTTGTAGCCTCCAGAGCTGTGAGAGAATACATTTGTGTTGTTTTGAGCCACCAAGCTAGTTTCTAGGGAAGCCCTGGAAAACTAACTGATCCAAACTGGTCAATCTAGGATTGGTAAGTATTGGTTAGACAGAGAGACAGAAGGTCAATAAAGTAAAAAATGTTGGGCAAAGCTGCAAGCATAAGGGTGACTGAATCATTTCTGAAGGCAGAGGGAAGCCTAATTGAGGAGTAGAGAGAGAAATTATAGGGAAATAGGTATAAAAACAAATCAAACTTGAAAAATGTCCTGCATTTCTATTCTCCATTTTGATCAAACCAAGTTTAATTTAATTTTAAAGAATGAATTATATAATATTGAATACATACACAGGCTATTGCACATATATTATGGGAACTAAGGGTAGAGATTTGTTCATGTTTTATAAATATTAATCTGACAGTAGAAGATTATTTAATGCTGTAGTTAGAAGCTGGTGTTTAGGTTGATGGCTTGCGTCCTCCTCAGTGTTTCAGGGTCCCAGACTTGTTTCATCCAATGGCTCCACCACCCCACAGGGCCTGCACGTTGTCTGCATTCATCCAGGTGGGCAGTTAGGATGAAACAGAGCATCTGAGAATAAGATCTTTGCCTACAAATGGCACCCGACACTTTCATCCACATTCTGTTCACCAGAATTTATTCAAATGGCCACACCTAACTACAAGGGAGGCTGACAGTTGTAGTCCAGCTGTGTGCCCAGGAGAAAGAAGGAGATTTGGAACAGCCAGAAGTCTCTGACATGCTTATTTTTTCACAAGTATAGTGATACTTGTATAATGAAACCAGATACATATAGTAGTACTGAAAAAAAGACCACATATAAGAAAATCTATTTGATTAATAGCAAAGCCATATAAATTAATTTATTGGAACACACACAAAAAGAAGATAACAGTATACTTTTAAAACTATTATAATTCCCTTAATCAATAGATATCATTTTAATTAGGCATATCTATTGCATTAATAACTTTTACTGTTCCCCTGGCCAACTGTTTATTTTGTATGCTATGTTTATTTGTTTTGATACTTTGGTATTGTGCCTTTAAGGGTAACAAAAGAACTACGGCACTGTCTCTGCTTTCTAGAACCTGGGCATTGACAGGCAGTTGAGGACTTAATGCGAAGAAGAGCAGGAAGCCTGGATGTGGTAAAAGAAGACTGAAAGGGTAAATAATGGACTCATTCATTTTACTCGAGTGGGGAAAAAGGTCAGAAAAGATTTCACTGAGTCTTGAAAGATGAGTTTTTCTTGCATTACATTTTTATATTATTCTGCTTTGATATAATTTTACGTGTTATGAAAGAGTTAAAAGACGTCATGAACAGAAAAAGAAATAATATATTTGACGTATTTTTGCCTCTATCTGACCATAGGGCAGTTTCATAACTTGTGGCTTCCATGGAAACTCCTTTCAGACATGAGCGACATGGTGACCAGCATTCAAGTTTCCTGATGGACCAGGCACTATGCTAAGAACTTCATCACATACATTACCTGACTTGTATCTTTAATCCTCATAAATCCTATGAGATATACATTATCTTCATTTTACAAATAAGAAAATTGAAATATAAAAAGTTGGATTTCCTTGCTTCAAGGAACACAGCTAATAAGTGGCAAAATTGGGTTCAAGCCTAGGGTATTGTGAATGTCAAAGTGATCTTATTTTTCATATATACTACACTGTTAAAAGGGTTTATAGTAGTAACCACTATCATCTGTTGAGTGTTTATTATATGGTACTCATTGTGATCAGAAGATTACTGTAAAATGGAAAATATGTTGTGCTTACCTCAAATGGTTGTCAAGAGGATTAAAAGAGTCAATGTGCAGATGATGCTTAGATGGGTACTTAGCATGTAGTAAGTGCTATACACAGGTATCCAATATCATTTAAAATACTATTATTGCTGTATAAGTACAAGAAATCAGCTCTTATTAAACCTTATTTAAGATTCTTAACAGCTATCTGATTTTTAGTGTGTAATGTAAAGTCCTTCATAAGAAAACGAGACTTATCTCTTCTTTATGTAGACATGAGCTTCCAAAGCCTGGGAATCAGTTTAATTCACTCATCTTTACATATATGTAATAATGAGATAATAGAGATATTTGTAAAAATTTACAATGTAAGATCTCAAAGTGCTCAGGGATTCCATTAGCATGGGTAGGATATTTCAATATAAAATACAAAAACATCAAATGAGTTTCCTCATAGTTCAGTTTAAAAAGTTCCCATAATTTAATATTCCTCATCTACCTACTGTAATTTTTGAAAGAATGATGAAAGGAGACAAAGAAAATAAAAATCATTTGTAATGTTATTATAATCATCTTTTGAGTCATCTCCATTTTAAAGTTAATTCAGATGATGCAGAATATCTACTTTTGTGTACAGCTTAGACAGTACCATTATAAGAACATTTTTGTAGGAATTATTTTATGTTATTAAAAGTTATACAAAACAATGAAATAATGGTATTTCATTTTATGTCATGCAAAAAATATACAATTTACTTCACAAAAGTTCTCTGGAAAGTCTATCAAATATTTAAGACCTGTCCCTGACTCTTTAGTATCAATGAAATCCAAAGCTCAATGAATGTAACGTCTTCATTATTATGAGATTTTGTTTTTCAGTTCAGATCTGTCTTATGGTAAGACCAGTAGGACCCTATGTTAGACTGCCTTCCTAGCCTGGAGCTGGCCTGTCCCTAAACCAAAGGAACCAAGCATCACCTAGAGTGTCTTTTGCTCTGAGCTCACACCCAAATCTCTACTTTTGGCATACTAGTATCTCAGTGGCTTGGAAAAACCAGCTGAAATGAAAAACTAGTCAGCCCATGAGAAGCAAGACAATTATCTCCAATGGTCTTAAACCTATCAGCAATGGTAGGCCTGGCCTCACAACTAAGATAATTTTTGTTTGTCTCTTTGTTGGGTATCAGGCCTCTTTTTATCTTGCCACAGGCACACTTGGACGTTTTGAGTTCTAATCTCTTGTACCCTTGAAAATTCTAATTTCCAGCATGTGGCCTGATTTATTCTTGGGTGAATAGAAATAACAGAGCAACAGAAGAGTTTTGAGCTCTCCCTAGAGGCCACATACATGGAGACATATGAACAAAGATTGAGTTCTCAAAACCTTGTGTAGGCCCGGCAGGTATTAATTAACGTTTGATTCCTCCAGGTGCCAGACAATAGAATGCTGGTGTGACTTGTGGTACTGGGAAGTTCTTGCTTCTTCTAAAGAATTTAAAATTAAAAAAATTTAAAAAGCATATTTAAAATACTTAGCTAAGATTTAACATTTGTCTAGGCATTTGTCACTCCTGAGATAAGAAACTTGGAGGTTGGAGGAATGGAGTAAAATTGCTGAAAATATAATAATAATGAAGTAAGATC